ACTTCATCCACAGCTGACTGCTGTCTTTAGCCGCTGAGCAGAAGGAAGGTCTAGTATAGGCCTGTACCATTTACAGGCTTCGTGATTTGCTGCCAATTTGTAGAAACCAAAGTGAACTTCTGGCAGGACTCCGACATACCATAGTAGTTAAAGAAACTATCGTCCCACCCTGATTTTGACTACAAGCCTTGAAAGATTAGCCTCATGTTTCTTCCTACCCTCCTATTCTCCTTAGCTAATAGAAGATTTAATATAAAACGTTCAAAAATATAATTCTGGAAAGTGTCACTCTGGTTATCTTCAGTTGCTTCACACACACACACACACACACACACACACACGTTAATTTTTTCTCATTCCTTTTCCCTCACCAATAAGCCTTGGCAAGAGAAAGCCTTCACTACTAATTAAAAGTGAAAAGCTAGCAAACAGATCCAGTACCCTGATGTTTCACAGCTGCCCAGAGACACCTGCTTATTTTTACAGCAATTCTTTTTAGTCTTTATCATTCCATCCCTTAAGGTTGGGTTATAAAATGAAGCAGAACAAACTACATCATTTCATGAAACCATGGTGCATTTGTACATCCCACCTTTACTGGAAGACACAAATCACTATTACACAATGTTGTCCAGTTGCTATAGCAGGAAGCAGAATCAACCAAACTGATCTTGCACATTACGAAGCCTTTGCAAAATATGGCTTTCAGAATGTTCCCTGGTTATGGTTACCCCAACTGCCAGGCCCAACCTGAGTATCCAGTGCCAAATGACCATGTATGCTGCGTAATCAGAATTCCTGCCCTGATTTCTGAAGACTTTTTAAACACATAAAAATATAGACAGGCTACTAGTAGCGCTTCTGAGTACCTATGTAGTTGTTTCATTCTTGTTGAGTCCAGTGGGAACTAGGGAGAGAAGGGCGACAACCCTGAAAGTTGAAGGTGCTTAGGTGCTGCTTACCAGGCTCAGTGTATCTGCTAATTGGAAATACTGAGCCTCCAAGCAGAGGTCAGGCTGCCAAGTAATCTTACAGTGAAAGCATGCTTCATGTACCCTCTGTGTCCAAAAGCTGACTCTACACTGACGCTGTACCTCCTGATTGAACACTGACGAAGCTCAGTACAGCGTAGTCTCTGCCCTCCCACCACCACATCTCACTGCAGGGTTGGGCAGTGAAAGCGTTCACCAGAGAGGTACGGTACGAAACTCACATCCCCCAGCCCTAAGAGAGAAATGAATCAGTCCAGTTTTATATCCCATATAAAACTTTAACTAGCAACAAAACAGAAAGCAGCCTCCCTTCTCTGGACACGCTTTGTAAGAAAGTGATGACTTCAGTATCCAGCCAAAGAAAAAGAATCAGCTGTGATTCACAACTGGAGGTATGCGGCTCGTCACAGCACCAAGGACGGTGAATCCCTGAAAGTGCACCTAAACTGGGAAGCCTCCAAGTGTACCCTTGCCATGCCCCAACTCCTAGGACAGGAGCATCTTCATGCAGACAGCCAGGATGTGTGTGGGGATGGTGGGGGATGGACAGCAGGAGAGAGGGACGTGCTGCAATGCGAAGCGGCAGCTGAGCTAAGTAGTATTTGCAGAGAGCCAAGCTGACTGTCACATCTTTTCTCAAAACTCCTTGGAGGCCACTGCTGGCATCTGCCTGTCCATCACACTCAGTTTTGTGGACAACAGTCGTAGGCACTGGGGGCACTGTCATACAGTTACCTGAGTTCACTGAAACTGGTTCGGGCCATGCTTCATCTTCCCCACTTGTGCCTGTCTTGCTCTCCTCTGACCTCAGGCTGAGCTGAATGAGGTACCTGCCTGACCTGGCTGAAAATCCGATTTGTTGCTGCTGTTGTTGGCAGCGCAGTTTTCAGCGTGATTCACTCTGGAGAGCCGAGCAAAGGCCGGGGAAAGGACGAAAGATCAAACATGAGGTTAGGTGTGGGGGTGACAACCTTTTTGTGGTGATCATGCAGCTGCAGTTCTGCTCTTCCAACACTTCATATGGGGCTATAATACAGACACCTAGTTCAAAGCAAGGGCTGATGCTGAAGTGGTCAGTCATACAAATTAGTTGTTGCAGCACACTGAGTGGCAACACCTGCATACTCTGGGCTGTAAGCAATTTATGTTCCTATGTGCTGACTCTGTTTTCAGGTAACTAGCATGTTTATAAACCTTGCCTGTAGTCCTGAGACCTCTCGTAAGCCAAACCAAAGATTTCTCTTATTAACCACAAAAAATGTATAGCACATTTGCTGATTCTGACCTTTCTACACCAGTGATAGGACACCTCTAAAACTGAGATAACAACAGCACATGAAATTCCTCAATTTTAAGAAGAATACAAGGCTTTGGAAAGAACAAGAACCAATAGACTTTTATTCATTCTTCTGTTTCAATGAATGTGTGCCTTGAGAATATCTCCTAACAACTTCAGCACGGTATTAGCATTTTCCATATGAGTGTCTAGCTCTCAAATCCTCGGCTTGTCGATAACTTAACCGAGGCAACGCAGCAACTGGGTCTATCTACCATTTGTTCCACATCAGTGTTTTCTTTTTGCTTAAACTGCGATGCATGTGCAGAACGTTTACACATTTCAAAACAAAGGGTTTTTCTGATTTTCTCTTTTTATTCTCTCATTGTACTCTTGCTTTAGGAGATTTCTAGTGAAGAAGAGGCAGATATGATTCAGTAAACTGAGCTTCTGTATGAAAACAGCACGAGAAAGATATGCCTAACGGGCAAAAGGGAAAGAAACAGTACTTGCATGTACTTGTTTCTAGACAAAAATATTTGGCAGCATGTAGACAGCATCAAATAAGAACAAATGAATGAGAACACAGGCCCAGATTGCAGTTCCAAGTAAATAAACTATTACTATTATTCAAATTAATACCAACATACTGTCTTTCTGTGTTAAACAGTATTTCTAGCCATCACAACGCAGATGTGTGTGTCTGTGTATTTATATTTATTTACATAGCTTCCAAGAGCTAAACTCTTACATATTTCTCGTCTTGGCCTACCATGCAGGATCAGGCTGACTGACCAAACAAGTATTTGGCGGAATTCACCTCAGTTTTCAGTTATTTCACCCTATGGCTGAAACTAGCTATGACACCTCCTTGAGAGTCACTGTAAGACAAGTGGAAGAAAAGCTGGACATGAGCTGGCAATGTGCACTGGCAGCCCAGAAGGCCAACCGTATTCTGGGCTGTATTGGGAGAAGCGTGGCCAGCAGGTTGAGGGAGGTGATTCTGCCCCTCTACTCTGCTCTGGTGAGACCTCACCTGGAGTACTGCGTCCAGCTCTGGAGCCCTCAGCACAAGGACATGGAAGTGTTGGAGCGGGTCCAGAGGAGGGCCACAAAAATGATCTGAGGGCTGGAGCCCCTCTCCTATGAGGACAGGCTGAGGGAGTTGGAGTTGTTCAGCCTGGAAAAAAGAAGGCTGTGAGGAGACCTGATTACAGCCTTTCAGTACCTAAAGGGGGCCTACAGGAAAGATGGGGAAAATCTTTTTAGTAGGGCCAGCAGTGACAGGACAAGGGGTAATGGTTTTAAACTAAAAGAGGGTAGGTTTAGACTGGATATAAGGAAGAAATTCTTTACAATGAGGGTGGTGAAACACTGGAACAGGTTGCCCAGAGAGGTAGTGGAGGCCCCATCCCTGGAAGCATTCAAGGCCAGGTTGGATGGGGCTCTGAGCAACCTGATCTAGTTAGTGGTGTCCTTGCTCACTGCAGGGGGGTTGGACTAGATGGCCTCTAGAGGTCCCTTCCAACCCAAAACATTCTATGATTCTATGGATCTATATAAAACAGGCAGCTATGCGTAACAAGGCCCTGTTCTTCAGCCTGTCCATACATGGTTCTCTGCTGTTACGAAGAAGGTGTTGACCAGGAGAGGATTCTCCCATCAAAGTGTGATCCAAGGTTGCTCCAATT